ATCAATTTTTAAAGGTTTAGTGGCTACTTGGAAACCTTCTATGAAGCATTTGATCAAGTATTTTGCCCATTCTCTTTTTGTTCACCTGTCTTTTTCTTATTGTTCTTTACAAGCATCTACATCAGAAGTTTAGTAAACTTTTTCTGTGAAGGGCCAGATGAAAATACTTTAGACTGTGGACTTCATAAGGTCTCTGTCATAATTCCTCAGCTCTTCTCTTGTAGTATGAAAACCAATACATAATCATACATAAGTAGGCATAATCAATACATAAGTGTGAATATATGACAATAGAACTTTAATTCTGGACAATAAAATCTGAATGCCACAAAGTCTTTTTTCTTCTTTTGAGTTTTTAAACTATTTAGAATTTAAAGAATAACCATAATAAAAAGCAATAAGGAAAGAGGACTTCAACAGCACAATACTCTAAACCAAGCAGACCTAAGAGACATTATCTAGAGTACTCCATTTAAAACCCACAGCATACAGCCTCTGTTACAATGTACATGATTTATTCTCCAGTTGAATCATGTTTAGGTAGCAAACAAGTCTCAATAAATCTTAAAATACTCCAAATCAGGAGTTTATTTATTTAAGCTTAAAAGATCATCTTCTCTAACCACAATAGAATGTTTCAAAAGCTAAACTTAGTAACAGAAGGAAAACTGGAAATTTCAAAATGTGAAGAAACAAAATAACAAAGTATTTTTTCCAGTCTTTGTTTTCCTTTTTTAAATTGTGATTTGAGTCTAAGTTTTACAGATTTTTTTCATTCAATCATTCATACACATTTTGTTTTATATTATTAAAATACCTATAACAAAATTTTATTTTTCCCACTTCCTCCTGTAATTTTCATTTTCATGAATCCTTCTATCCCACTCCTTCCTGCTCAGGAGTTTATCTTTGGGCAAATGCTGCTCTCTGAATGGTAAAGGGTTGTTTATTCTAAGGAGGGAGAAGCTCTCAGGTGCTACTATTCACCTCATAGGCTGCCTTACTGTTTGGCTGAAAGTTGAGCTGTGGGGGTGATAAACCACCACCAACACAAAGAAGAAATCTCTAGGGAAATTAGAAAATATTTAAAGATAAATGAAAATGAAAACACAACATACCAAAATTTATATACACTGGAGGCAGTGTCCAGAAGAAAATTTACTGCTGTAACGCCTTCTTTTTAAAACCAAACGAACTCAAATCAATAACCTAACTTTAAATTTTAAGAAATCAGAAAAAGCTACCAGATGGAAAGTTTTGTAAAAGTTTAGAGCAGAAATAAAAACAGAGACTTGAAAACCAAGGACAATCAACAAAACAAAAATGGGTTCTTTGAAAATGTCAAAACAATTTAAAACTCTTTGGCTAGATTGACAAGAAAAATGAGAGAAGAAATAAATAACTAACATCAGAGATTAAAGATGGGGCCTTATTATTGATCCTACAGAAATAAAAGGGAATACTATTAACAAATGGCCGTTGGTCTAGCAAACAGAAAGCCATGCTCCCAAGCAAAGGTGGGTGATTCTACTCCACAGCCCTCAGGCCTGCCTTTGTTTTTGGTGAAACATTCTTCTAGGTTGTGTAACCCTGGTATGTCCACTTGCTGTAAAGAGGTAACTCATGGTTGCTGTGAAGCCAAACACTGTGACACTGATGAGTCAAATGTGAGTATGGTTACCCAGGGTGGACAGTGTTTGGTGAAGTTCCCTGCTTAAAACAAGCCTGGAAGCAGAAGTGGCATCCACTTCCATAACAGCTTACCTCTGGAAAACCTATGAACCTGGAGAAAGGACGAAAGTTATACAGGAGGTGTCCGGGACTTTCGTTCATAGGGTCGCGATAAGTCACCTGCGACTTGATGGCACTCAACAACAACAACAATTAACAAATGTATGCCAGCAAATTAGAAACTGAGACAAACTGAACAAAACACACTAACATAACTCCAGAAGAAAGAGAAAATGTCAACAGACATGGAACTTGTGCAAAGACTTGTAAGCAAAGTCTTCCAACATGGAAATGATCTGACCTGACAACTTGCCTCAGGGAACTCCAACAAATGTCCAAAAGAGTCAACAGTTAATTCTATTCAATCTCTTCTGAAAATCAGAAGAAAGGAACCATTTACTAACTGGTTCAAGAAACACTAGCCCAACAGTAAAGCCAAGCAAAAACACTGAAAACAAACTGTAGACCAATGTCCCTTACAAATACAGACACAAAAATTTTCAACAATAGAACACCTATTCTAATAGCATATTAAGATTATTGTTGTTGTTGTTGTTGATGGCCGTGGAGTTGAGCATGATTCATAGTGACCTTATGAACAAAAGACCTGAAGCCTTTCTAGAACTATCATAGTTTCTGAAAGTTCATAGAGTTTCCAGAGTATTGTTTAGGAAGTGGATGCCACTACATGTCATCATCAAGTTGATGCACCCCAATAATGTAAGAATGGTAAACAAAAGGAAATCAAACAATGTACCACACTATTAGTAGAATGAAAGAAAAGAATATGGACCTCACAATTGATAGGGAATAATGTATTGATAATCCTTTTATGATTCAGGAGGGAAAACTCAGGAAAGTAGGAACAGAAGGTAAATTCCTCAACATGAGAAATGGGATTTATAGAAAAACAGTTAATATCCTTGGAATCCTAATGGTACCATGATTAAAGCATTTGACTGCTAACCAAAAGCTCAGCAGTTCAAAGCCATCAGCTGCTCTGTGGGACAGAGATGTGGTGTCTATAAAAATTCCAGCTTTGGAAATCCTATGACAAAGTTCTATTCAAACCTGCAGGGTCACTATGAGTTAAAACTGACTCAACAGCAATAGAGCTGTTTTTTTGTTGTTGTTATTATTCCCTGTGGGAAAACCACAAATCTTCCCCTTATGGTCAGTAACAAGGCAAAAAAATGCCTGCTTTTACCATTCCACTGTTATTCAACAGCATATTCTACTTGAAAGACTCAGGCAAAAGAAAGTAAGTAACATCTCAACTGGAAAGGAAGAAGTAAAACTGCATCTATTTACAGATGACATAATCCTGTAATACAGATAATCCCACAAATTAGTCTCTCAAATCTCGACATGAAATCTAACAGAGCTAAAGAAGGAATTTTAAAAATCCTGCAGAGTAAAAAGATCAACACACAAATATCAATGATGTTTGTTATAAATCAGTGATGAATACGCTGACAATAAAATTAAGAAAATAATTTTATTTCTAACATTTAATAGAATAAGATAAAAGGCAGGCAGTTTGAATCCACCTCTTAAGAAAATCCCCATAATCATAGTAATTAAAAGATGGTCAGTGCCCTCCTGTGTGATTTACAGTCTCTAAAAACTTGCTGGATGATCAGCTACAAGTTGGTTCTGACCCAATGCCAATGTGAAAGAGCATACGTGAAATAATTATAAAAGGCAAATGCTATGAGAGAAAGTTCTTTAGTGGTTACTCTATCTCTCTCTCAAATGGCAAATGTGTTATATATTTTTACAATAAATAATTCATATAAAACATGAGTGAAAGGAAATAATGACAAGATAAAAAACAAATGAAATAGAAAACATACATGAAACAAGTGCAAAGACCAAAGTTGGTTCCTCATAAAAGAAAAATCATACTGATAAATCCACTGTAAGATCTGTACTTAAGTAACAAAAGTCTTTACTTATAACAGGGCTTAGGCAAGCAGGCACATCAAATGCTTTTTTTTAAAATATAGTCTTTGAGCTAAACCATTTCAAAATCCAAACGCATAGCTGTAGAGTCATTTCTTATTATTGACGCCCTTGCAGGTTTCCAAGGCTGTAAAACTCATAGGATAAGACTGCCCATCTTTCTCCTTCACAGAAGCTGGAAGGTCTGAAGCAGGATTCAATAAAAAGTCTAACATAGTATTTGGTTCTTTATCTCTTTCTTTCTCTCTCACACACAAACTTCTTTGTTTTTAAGGATGACTAATTTTTTTTTCTCTCATCAATAAAGAAGATAAAGAGTGTATCCTTTGGGCTTGAGATCACTGCAGTGACAGGAGACAAAGAGCTGTGACACCTCAGTGACAGGCAGTGGTAACATACAAGTAATGGAAAACGACAAACAGCTGGCAGAAAAACAGCAGCACTAGAGACAGAACCAGGAAACTGGTGAATGACAGAGCTGTGAGCTCTCAACCTAAAAAGTAAGAAAAGCACAGACCAGGAGCTCAAGGGTCCTAGAGAGGTCTGCGTGTGAGTATAGATGTCCTGACCAAAGAACTGCTTCCTAAGTTGTTCCTGACCATGAATTATAACTTGTCACTTCTCCAATAAAGCCCATAATCTTGAGTATTGCTCATGAGTTGTATGCGACTACTTGCAACAAATTACTGAACACAGCAGGGAAGGAACACGTGGCATGGGAGGGATAAGTGACCCGAGACCTGTATGGAATGGGGCCATGTCTGACCTCACAGAAACTGGCTGTGGATTCCTGTCATTGTTAGGACTTTCCTTCTCCCTCCTATGAAGTCAGAGAAGGTTGGATGCCACTGTCCCTTCGCCCATGCAGTTGTTACTCTGCCAAACTAACAAACAAGTCAGTCTGGGAGTAAAGTGCAACCAAGGTGCTCCTTAGAGGTAAGGACAGTGAAGTCTCACATACTTTGGGCATGCTGTAAGGAGGGATCAGACCTTGGAAAATAACATCATACTTGGAAAGGTGGAAGGTCACTGAAAGGGAGAAAGACCCTCATCGAGACATACTGACACAGTGACTGTTAGAATGGACACAAGCATGTATGAGATGATGAGGACAGTGACGGAAAGGCAAGGTTCAGATGTGTTGTTCACAAGGTCGCTTTGAGACGCAGTGGGCTCGACAGCGCCTAACAATGACTACAACACAGCTATAGCTGTTCAACAGTGTAATGTTATACTACCCTTCCCCACATTCTCATTAAACAATTGGCAAATCCAGAACAGACAGATCATAAATATGTACATACCTTGAACTGTTAGCTCTGCTTGAGCTTCAATTGTCTCATTACCATTTTCAGCTATACAAAAATAAGTCCCAGCATCCTCCTCAGTGACGTCACTGATGACCAGGCTACCTCCTGCCAGCAGTACCAATCTTTCAGAGCTGCATTTAAAAAAAAAAAAAAAGTAGTGATGCATTTTAGAACTTGGAAAATAAAATCTAAGACACTAACTGTATAAAATAGAGAAAATATTTTTTAGTATTATAACTCTGTATGATTACAAACTCATATAAAACGGAAAAAAAAACCAAACCACAACTTTAGACAAATTTGCTTTACTCACATTTTACAAACATAAATATGCCTAATGGAAATGTTACAATGAATTATCTTTGACATTTCTAGCTGTTCCCAATGGGACACTATTTTTGTGACAAGCTGCTCTGTCCTCACTATCCCTGTTCTTACTGCTCTAACCAGGGTTGCAAATTAAGTCATCCTGAAGCAATCTGAAGGTCACTCCACCCCAGCTCTGCCACACTGCGATTGCTAAGGGAAAGCACAAAAGAGGAAATGTAAAACATCAGAAGAGAAAAGCTAAGTCACAGACTTTAGGACTACTGAAGAGTTTCCTTTGATGCTTGACTGCAAAAAAGAAGAAGAGAAGGGGAAGAAGGTTGTTGAGAGAAAAAGGTCACTATGCGCCACACAATAAGGAACAAAACAACCACCATCACAACATTAGCAACACGGATGTAAACAGTCTTTGATACCAGACTTGAAAATGGTTTAAGTCTACTTAACAAAAAACTAGAAAAATCCAGAGTCATAAATAATATACTAATCAAATTTCTATCACATGGTTATTGTTATGTGCCATCGAGTTGCCTATGACTCATAGCAACCCTATGTACAACAGCCCTAAACCCTACTCCATCTCTTGCCAATCTTATTGTCTTCGACACATCCATCACCATTACCCCAGTAACTGAATCAATCCATCTTATTGAGAGACTTCCTCTCCTGCACTGTCCCTCCACCCTCCCAAGCATGATATCCCTCTCCATGGACTGGTCCCTTCTTGCAACATGTCCAAAGTATGTCAAAGCTTCAGAATCCTTGCCTCCCAGGACCAGCCTGGACTTATCTGCTCTAGGACAAACCTATTTGTTTTCCTAGCAGTCCATGTATATTCAATACTCTTCTCCAGCACCACATCTCAAAGTTATCAATTCTCCTTTCATCATCTCTAGTCATTGTCCAGCTTTCTGATACATAGCAAGTAATTGCAAAGACTATGGCCTGGATCAGGTGCACATTAGTCTCCAGACTGATATAGTTGCTCTTCAGTACTTTGGAGAGGGCTCTGACAGCAGACTTTCCCAATGCAATTCATCTTTTAATTTCTTGGCTGCTGGTACCAAGAGTGTTGATTGTGGAGCCAAGCAAACAAAAGCTGTTTACAATCTCAATCTCTTCACCATCTATCATGATGCTGCCAATCAGCCCAGTGGTATCTTCGTTTTCTTGATGTTGAGCTTCAATTCAAATTGAAGGCTGCAGTCTTTGATCTTCTGCAGCAAGCTCTTCAGGTCCTCCTCAGTTTCAGCAAGCAGGGATGAATAATCTGAATAATGCAGACTGTTGATGAGTCTTTCTCCAATCCTGATGCCACGCCACATTTCTCTCATAGAGCCCAACCTTCTGGATAATCTGTTCTGCATACAGACTGAAAAGGCATGCAGATAGGACACATCCCTGGTGTATACTCTTGCCAATTTTTAACCATGCAGTGTTCCCTTGCTCTGTTCTGATGACTGCCTCTTGGTCAGCCTTGTTACTGTTGTTGTTATGTGCCATCAAGTCGCTTGCGACTCATAATGACCCTATGTACAAGAGCCCTAAACCCTGATCTATCTCTTGCCAACCTTATTGTCTCTGACACACCTATCCCCATTACCCCAGTGACAGAATCAATCCATGTCATCGAGGGTCTTCCTCTCCTGTGCTGTCCTTCCACCCTCCCAAGTATGATGATCCTCTCCAAGAACTGATCCCGCATAGCAACATGTCCAAAGTATGTCAAACAGAGCTTCAAAATCCTTGCCTCCAAGGAGCAGCCTGGCTTCACCCTCTCGAAGATGAACTCATTTGGTCTCTTAGCAGTCCATGGTATATTCAATACTCTTCTCCAGCACTAAAGCTCAAAGGTATCAACTCTCCTTCTATCATCCCTAGTTATTATCCAGCTCTCTGATGCATAGCAAGTAATGGCAAAGACCATGGCATTGTATAAGTTTCACATAAGCATGACCAAATGTTCTGGGATTCTCATTCTTTTCAAAGTTAGCTAAAATTTGTTGTGATCCACACAGTCAAATGCCTTTGCATAGTCAATGAAACACAGATAGTGCATTCTTCTGGTACTCTCTGCTTTCAGCCAAGATCCATTTAATATTAGCTAATAATATCTCTAGTACCACAGCCTCTTCTAAACCCAGCCTGCACTTCTGGCAGTTCTCTGCTGATGTGCTGGTCTAGTAATGTTTGGATAATTTTCAGTAGAATCTTGCTTCTGTGTGATATTAATGATATTGTTCAACAATTTCTGCACTCTGTCAGTGTCATATCATGTAAACAAGTTCATTTCAAAAGTGAGAAGTTCAAACATATAAAACTTCCCCCAAAAAAGCAAGTTACACAGTTAATTCTGGAGATGAATTCATATTTAAAGGTGCTACTTTTTTACTGGTTTTCATTCAATCATTAATATCCATTTTAGTTTATAACAAAAGGTGCTTCTTTAAAAGTCACGTTCACAGATTATATACATTCAGAAGCTGGTACCAAAGACAATATGACAGAAAAATGACTTTTAGACAATGTTGTTGTTGTGTGCTATTGTGGTGGACCCAACCCACTGCTGACCCTCCAGCGGTACAGAGGCAGTACATCACACAGGAGGAGATTGTCCGTCCTTCTCCCATGCAGTAGCTCATGGAATCAAACTACGCTTCTTATCACTAGCCCAACAGTAAAGGAATATTTTCCATTGTTAAACTGATCTTAAAGGCCAGCTTTTTCTTTCAGCTCTCAATATTATACATTTCCACTTTCTATCTACTGTCAACAAACATGTTCCGATTAGAAATAATGTTTTCATCTAGAACTCACTACTGGGTGGGGAGGGCGAGAATCAGAGTAACTACTCAGTCTAGGTCACATTTGTAACTCTTCTCCTAAGTAAATATGCTGGCTTAAATTTCAGCATATTGTCAGTTTAGTTAATAGTCTTTCCAAATCTTATAAATAGAAGATTAGGTTTCTGGTACAGAGAGTCAAAAGCCAGAATTGGGTCTGACTACTTCTCCAAGGAAATACCCCACAAGGTCACAACTAAAAATCAATTGACCTTCCTATCTTGAACCATCATAATTATAACTATCAAATCTCAACTTCATGAGATGGGAATAGGAAAGGAAGATAACATATAACAGAATGGGCTAAAAGAGAGATAAGAGTGTTCTCTTGTCTCCAAAAGTAGAAAAATAGAAAAAATTAAAAATCTTACACTTTAAGACAAAATTACTACAATATAACATTTAAAAGTGAAAAATCAGTTACATACACATGATACTCAGCTAAAATGAACATAATTTAAAATATCAGTCAGGATAATACTTGAAAAATTGATAGTTATTTATATCTAACAATCACACTAAAAATATTCCTGATTCCATGCTTAATATTGATTTATCTGAGCCCCGGCAGAGAAGAAGTCAATCTTTCTTAAAGGTGTGAATTTTACTCAACTTAAAAGAAGCTAGAGAAGAGAGATGGGCTTCAGCTTGGCAGATTCCATCAATTCCACAGAATTGATGACTTGAAGAACTAAAGCAGCTGAGAGTGCCATGGAGTTGACCACAACTCCTAACGGCCCTATGAACACAGATCATCAGATCCCTGCTCTGTCCTGTGCTGTCCCACCATGCTGGATTCAGAATTCAAAGATACAGGAGAGAAAATAATATGGGGGGAAGTGTCAGTTGTCAATGAACCAGACTTAAGTTTTAAACTGCTGTATTTAAAGTGTGAGAATACATGTGCATGCTGGCCTGTCTGTGTGTGTTCCCATCCCTGAAGAAGTTTGGGATTAGTCTGGAGGAGAGGGCTGGGACGATAAGCAACCATGTTTTTAAGCATAAAAATCACAAGATCAGGTTTTGTGAAGAAACAAGAGGAGTAGGGGAAAGACTAGAAAAGTAAAAAGTGTGGCTAAGTATTTTAATAGTTCAGAATTGAGTATAAAGCAATTGACTGTGGCATTAATTGTAGGAGGGGGGGAAAGGAGAGGGGAAAAAAGTACCACTACTTTTAAAGTGAGGCAATGAAGGTTAGAATAAGGATTTATTTACTCATTCACTGAATAAATAGTTGAGATTTTTGTGCCAGGTAGCAACTGGGGATATAGCAGTGAGCAAAAAGGGACACAATCAGCACTCTTGTGGAATTCAATGGAAAAGGCTGATGTAAAAGACAACAACTCTGTATTGTAGTTTACCAAAAGAAACTGCCAAGGAATTAAGAAAGAGTAGAGAGCTTTTCCTGAGAAAATATCCCTAGGGATAAGATATGAAGAATGAGAAAGAGTTAACTAAACTATGACTGCAAGAAAAAGACTTTCAGAAAGACTACTAAAAGAATGCAAAAGGAATCATAGCAAGATAAACCACACGTACGTGAGGCAGAAATAAACCAGGACAGGAAAGTCTAAGGGAAGAGAGGAAGATGAGGCAGGACTGACAGCACACACAGCTTTAAAAGTCATTTTAAGATTTGCAGTCTTTAATCTAAGCACAATGGAAATCCATTAAACAATTCTCAAAGTGGTTAGAGGTTAAGAATGATGCAGTGAGGTTTGAACTTTGAAAAGACTGCTCTGGCAGAAAGGTATTTGGAAGGAGGCCAGAGTACATGTGGGAAGAGTAGGAAGCTAATGCAGTAACTGAGGTGGCAGCTGACAGTATCCTGGAATAACGTCAAAACAACCACACGTGAATTCCAGAGACATTTAGAACGAAAGTGACGGGAAACTGAAGCGATGAAATGACCCCGAGGGTTAGGGCAGTAAATGTGAAAGGAAACACAAGAAGAAATTTTT